TAAATAATCTTGAAATGTCAGTCTTGAATTGTCCTTATTTTCGCAGGTCGGAAGTTTCCTCCTTTTTCCTTTTGAGAAGAATGTTCGAGAACCTCTATCCATCCTGAATAAGTATTTAGGGTAAGAAATTTCCATATTTTTCATCTCAGTACCATGCATGCTTGCGATTTTTAGAATCAAAGGTTTTATTCATTGCAGAATGCTTGAAAGTGGCTCAACTGTTCAAATTTCCACGATCAAGTCAACTTCTCGTCGTGAAATKAGTAAATCAGCTACCTCGAAGACTGGAAACAAGTCCTCAGAAAAACCTGTCAACTATGCCGACACTACACCTCTTCGAGCTCCTAGAGAGCCGCAAAAACTTCTCGACAGACAATTTTCGAAAAGTGTCCCACTAAATCTGAGTAATGCTGACTGGGACCTAGAGATGGAAGATCCTCTCGAGCAAGTTAGTATAAATCACTCTGAAAAAGATTCAAGAAGAGTATTGAGTGCTTTTGAACTTAGAACGCCAGGAACACCCATCACACCTGACTTTGCAATTATCGAAGAAATTGAGGAACTATCCAACACCTTGGACGACCTTATGGAGTCATTGGAAGATGATGATACAGRAAAAGAACAAACAAAGGTCTCCACGAAAAGAGAGTCGCCCAAAGAAATTAAAGATTTATGTACAACTATTGATTATTTGCTAAATAGTTCAGAAGAAGAGGAATTACATCGTGATTTAAGTGCTTTTGAAAATGAAGAGAAAGGCGTCTCCAAAGCACATATRAAAAAGAGTGCGTTTACCAAAATAACAACACCTTCTAACAAGCGAAGACAACTTCCTCCTGAATCAAGTGCTATTCAAAAGCCACTGAACAACGTTGATAACGGCGCAGACAGTGTACAAGATGTTTCTGTATCAACAAATGTTRTGTCTGTAAAACCGGGACAGGACAGTACCAATAGGTCGGTTTTAAGACATTCTAATAAAATTCGACGAAAGCTCCCTAAGGAACCGAAATCTGATAAGGGAATATCTACCTCAAGCGCTAAACAGGGCCCACAAGATGAAGCATCACGAAGAAGAAAGCCCATAGAAAAACGCAACGAAAAATTGTCTAGACAAATATCTCAGGAATCACTTTTACTTATTCAGCGGAGATTTGGGAGTGAGAGTTGTCTATCTACTTCTAGCTCAAGGAACACAGATTCTAGTAAATTTGAAGCAGGACGCAAGAAGAAAACGGCTTCTTTGCCGCAAAATACTGCAACAAATGGAAAGGCAAGAAGTTTTAGTGAATCGGKTCCAAAGGGAACCTCTAACAATCAAACTCAAAAGGTTCCTTCCAAAAAGTCGCAGTCGGTAGTCGATGTATCTTGCTWTAATGAAGCAAAGAAAGGTGAAAGACAAAATATGAAAAGCAAAGGCAATGATGCTGWGCTGAAGTCTTCAAACAACAACAATTCCAGTGAACAATTGGAAAAATCTAACGCTACAATGTCACGTCCAACMACGCGGAAAACCAGTTTAAGGAGAGAAAATAGTAACACTGAGAGTGTTTCTTCTGCGGACAGCTCCGCTAGTCTAAGAGGTCGGCCGCCTTCAGGACTTGGAGGACGAACGCGTAGTGAAAGAGCAAAAAGACGACAGGAAATTTCTCAGAAACTTGAATGTTTGGAAACAAACTATGATTCTCTTGAGCATAGCCCAAAAAAGACATCGAGTAGAAAAAGTTCAACGTCAAGTTCAGCGTCATCTAGAGTAACTGCAAATASCATGACAAACGAAAAGCGAAAGTCATCTCTTCCTAGAAGTCACCTTACAGATGAAAAGACAAGCACTGCCACATATCCGTCAAGGAAGGAAAATCAGGAAATAAATGCTCCAGCAATGAGGACGAGAAGTCGTTCAGCTACAGCTAAACGAACGCCATCAAATGCGTCGATGGAACACGAGAAAATGAGCGGTTCAATAAAAGGAGAAAAGAACCGCCTCCTCTATTCAACGAAGCAGCCACGATCAAATTCTTTTGGGAAATCAAAAGCCAAAATCTCACGTGAAAACGAGGGGAAAAGTACCACAGGAAAAAGAAAGCTTCCTACGACGAAGCTCGTAAACGCAGGCACTGTCACTCAATCAAATATCCAAGATACAACTTCGAAAAAACAAAGTGAAGAATCCAAAGGTGTTGTCAAGATACYACGGGAAGACAACGSAAACGACCATGTGAAAACTAGTGGCCCTTCTTTGAGTGATAGTTTTGAGGACATCGTTATAGTTGAAAGAACTGCATTAGAAAGCACCTCAGWTGSCAACAACAACAGCAACAACAACAGCGAGCAAACAGATGAAAATGCGGCCGATAACCCACAAGACGATCTAAAAGTCGAACTGAAGATGAAGAACACAGGCAGCTGGATGGTCCTTGACTATGAAGGCTCCAATAACACACCACCMTCTACAAGAAATAGCAGTTTTACTTCTCATATGAGTCACGACGATTTTCTTGCACTAAACGAAGCTCATGATGCAATAGATGGTCTCCTTGAAGATACTGATGACACTGGGATAAACTCAGTAATCGATTCTAAACAGGCAAACCAATCAAAATCACAGACAAATGGGAGTGTACAAACAGATACGGACTTAGAAGGCAGTAATATTGTAAGGAGAAATGCTCTCAGGAAAAAGAAGAAAAGAAAGAGTGAGTCGAAGACGCAAGCCAYTATGGMCTCATCTAATGGTAAAAAGAGTGTTTCTATAAACGAAGACAAGCGTAACGTCGACAAGCYGMCAAGAGTTGAGAAGTCTCCAAAAGGTRCTAAGAGTAAAACTCATTTACCTTTTGGACTGAGGAGAAAGACGATCGATGAAAGTTACCCAGAAACCAACGGTGTAACAGAGCACGAATCACCTGTTATATCTACTGCACTGAACTCTTCAACTTCATCGCAAGAAAAAAGTGTTGAGAAGAAAAAAGTTTCACCCTTCAAACTTCTTACGAAGAAACGAAAATCACCTGAACTACGGTCACTAAAAAACACATAATCTTGAGCTTCTTCACCTATTTTATGYTTTTACAAGGCGCTAGCATCTGTTTTGATTGAAAAGATTTGTACCACCAATAAACTGACCCCATTTTWACTGAGTCCTATTAATTTTATTATTTTCTATGAAATGTAAAAATGCCGGCCTAGGTTATTATGTTTGTTGGAGGTTTCGCTTTAAAAATAGATCAGAAYATTATTTTTGTTGTAAGTAGAATTTATCAGTGATAGTGATTATTTATTTATCAGTGAACAATTTTATGAAACTGTAGTCGTGCTGTTTTTTCCYCATTTCTTCCCTGTGTTTTTAAATTATCCACTTTCGTTATGACGTCATGTTTTTTGTCAATTCCATAGTGCATTGAATCGGACATCCCATGGCTCCATGAGGGGGAGGGGAAAGAACTCGGTCTCTAACCTATGAAGGTTTCAAAATCTCACATAAATAAACTGTGCACTTTAATCTTTAGAAGGGTTTCCTGTCGATACTGAAAAGAGAAAGCTGTCGGATTAATAATATTTCGAACATCTTCCTGTCATCATGATGATGCGCCCCTATTTCAAGCTCTCCACTTAATTGCTAGACCGTGTTGTTGTCAGAGTTGTATGAACCTGACATGTCCATATTATCTATTGAACTGAATAATATTGTCTATTGAACTGAATAATTGTTCGAGCTGCCGGTTACTTGATTTTATCCTATATCTCAATTCTAACACGCGCGCTGATTGGCGGATTTCATGAGAAAAGCTATGGTTTATTTCACCGGTAAACCAGCCTGCTGTAGTGAAAGACTCTTGAGTATAAATGGCGGACGCCAGCTAGAACATAAAAGCCATAAACAATAGCTTGAAGCGATTTACTGGTGAAATGATGCGTGAAAAGAAAAAATGAAAGGAAATACAACTGTGCCTTGATGAATATTTTGCACATACTAATTAATTCCCAGGCGCCTATACCACGGTGTCCGATTGGCTATCAGTAACGGGCCTGGCTACATAGCATCATCCACATGGCTCACATAGAGCGAGGTGTCATGTATGCAGTGTGTGCGTACAAGAAATGAAAAATTCGACAAAAATAAGGTAAGAAACTTCCTCTTAGCKACAGTTACTGAGTTCGGAATATCATGGAGTGCATTCAAATATGTCAATACTTCGTTTAAGCATTTAAAGCGTGCTCTATTAGTCGTTATATGTGCATGTTTTGGTATGCATAGTTCAATGAGCTGCTCTTCTACGGTATTGTTGACATAGATATGTATTCCATCAACAAGCCTTGTATTAAAACAAGAATTAMGTTGTATTAACGTAGCTACAACGTTTGTAGCTATACTTTATCGAGATTGTTAACAATTTGTTATGTGCGTGTAACTTGTGTAGTGATCAAGCGCGAGGAGACTCTTGTATTTTTGCTACCTTTGATATCCAACATTCAGAAGTTGAAGGATAATGCTGGTCATTATTTATATTCGTTTATACATTTCAATAATGCCATGATGACTTACACTTTGAGGCAAGCCAGATTGTGATCATGTTTGAACCAAACCCAATGCAGATGGTGTGTCTGATAACAGATTCTAGCACCGAAGCGCGTTTTAGCAGTAACCGCAGTGGTACTATTATGGGATACACCCTGATATGTTCTTAGGGTCTCAGAGGGATACTATCTGCAGTACTACATTCATTGATGAAAACAGCTTTGGTTTACTTTTAAGCAATTTTACTTGTGCTGTTGAGCATTATACATTTATGTCAATTGTAGATTTCAAGTATTTTTTTCTTGTTTTGCAGGTGATTGACTGAGTTGTTATGGATACAAGTACCTTACCTAAGGGCTGGGTGGTCCGTGAGTCCAAGTCAAGAATAGGGCGTTCCTACTTCTTCAATACATCAACAGGACAATCCAGTTGGAAGCATCCATCACTGATATCAAATAAAGTAATTATAGTTTTCCAACTCGTTGAAGTAATGTAATAGTGTCGACTGATCCAATAAACCTTGATATTTTAACATGCCCTCAGTATAAACATGTACTAGTTAAAAGTGTATAAAGTCATGTATATAGTGGACTAGACATAAGCATAATTGTGGTTATGTTTCACGTGTATGTTCCTCAAATGTACATATAAAATTATTATTGCAGACTGACAATACAAGTATAAGCCCAAAGAAAAAAAGAAGAAGCAATGGCAGTGTTGATTCTGGAACATCTGAAGATGTCCAGTCCAAGCAGTCAAATATCCTTCTCAGTCCAGTTTCACCAACAGCATCATTTGTTTCAATTACAAACCARAGCAAAAAGTCTGCTATAGTAGCCAACCAACTTAAAAAAGATTATAGTGACAGTGTTGACAAAAGTGAATTGTCCCCTAAACAAAGACGAAAGGATGGGTCTCCAACAGAACATCRGTTTCAGTGCAGTCGAGCTCGAGCCAATCATATTGCACATTGGGTGTCAACTGTTAACAATGGCAATGATTTAGTTAACGAAAGTCTTATTGGCTCTGAATGGAAGCAGAATGTTCATACAAAAAAAATTAAGAAGAAAAAGAAGAACAGAAAGATGCCAATTTTTCATGAAAGTTCTTCAACAGAAACAGATGGCACAAAGAGACAAGTGTTGGCTCAAAACATTAGTTCAAAAATCTCTCCAACAAGTATTCCTGCTAGCAAATTACCAGAASTAAAGTCAGAAGAAACCAAGTCTTTGAGGCCGCCTTTGAAGAAAGTTAACCACAAAAACAAAAGTGCWAACACAACACCTCTTTCTCCTTCAAAACCTATGTCTTCATTTACCTCATTGTTTACCCCATTCTCACAGTTTACTCAGCAACAGGACAAGAGRAAYGACTCTCAAACAACACCTATGAATATTGATAGAAGTAATCATAGATTTTCAACACCATTTATGAAATCACCTCCACCTACTGGACCTCAAGACCTGTTAAGTAGTCCTATCAACATGAACATACCAAGTACTGAGACTCCAAACCTTTTTACAAACATGTCAAAAGAACAAGAGTTTGAAAACTTACAGAAAATAGAGACCAGCAGTGATATCCAGAGCATGAATGAACAGCGAGACAGTGGTTTTGATGAAATTATAGACATGGATATTGATAATTTTGAAGAAATGACCCAACTCATTAAAACTGAGGTAAGCACCTGTGTGTTGATCTTACTTATGTTGGTTTCTATTATTATTTATCATTGTTGGTATAATGGGGTGTCTTTTTTTACTAGTCAACAATATGAATTAAATATGGATTTTTTAAATCTCTACACAGCTTCAAGAAGTCAGGTCAGACTTTCAACTTGACATCCAAAAGGTTTGTACATACAATGTATATAATATGCTAACCACAGATTTGTTTGTATTGTAACTTGTTATGTTGTTTCTCTGACTTAATGTTTTCTACTTGCATGCATATATTGATTTATTGATATCATTATAAGGTGAAAGAAAGGTATTTGGGTGAATCTAGTCTTAATGAAGTAAGTATATATTTGCATATTGATTTATACAAACATTATGTTTGATGTTCATCAATATCATGTTTTTTTGATAGGATGGAGTACACGTCATTTTAGACACCAATGTGCTGCTATCACATCTTAAGTTTATTAATGAGTTAAAGGATTTACCAATTGAAGGTACAGCCAAACCTTWTYGTAGAGATAGTTTGGGTAGAATTTTCAACTGACATTCAATTTGTTTTCAGGTGTTGGTAGGCCAGTTCTTGTTGTCCCCTGGATTGTAATGCAAGAATTAGACTCTCTGAAGGTACTATTGTGTACATTTAGAGCAGTTTTTGTATGAGCTGAGTAACTGCCAGGCTAYTACAACTAAATATGACTCACTACTAGGCTAGGCCCTGTGATTGTGCCATGTTGTGCTTGTGTCATGATTTGTGCCTTTGAAGTCATGCAAAATCTGCTCTAATACTTTAACTAGTGAACATGCATGCACAGTAAACTTTAGAATGTGATAATATTATTATTTGGCAAGCCACACCATGAGAAAATCTGCAGTGGCATTTATTGCTGTGTCTTTTATTGACATGATTGTAATGCTCACCGACAAAGGTAGCCATGCAAATATTGAAAGCCMGCATCCAATCACATGTTAAACCAAAGTTGTGCTTTAATACTTTTTTTGTAATGTCTAGAGTGATTCTCGAAGGCCAAGGCAAAACAATGAGGTAAGTTTTTAATCACTTTCAAAATTAATCAGACTTWMATCATTTTACTGTGGTTTCTTATTGTGCGTAATTATGTCCTGTTTAAGGATGGTGCTGTTGGTGTTGATACTCTGGCAAGGCAAGCCATAAGATTTTTACATTCYTGTTTTGAATCAAAACATCCAAGGATACGAGGCCAAACTGTAGATGAGGTTAGTGGTAACAGYCATTTGATGAAAAGATGGAATAACACCATACTGATTCAGCTCCATTATYTCTTACAGGCCAGTGAACAACTGAATTCCATGCTWGAAGAAACAAATGATGACAGAATATTACATTGCTGTCTTGTGGTTAAACGCCACCGTAAGTTGTACTGTACATTCTACATGTTTGTATCAATCATGTTTATTGATGACCTCTTTACCWTTGGTTTTCAGTTGCTAATGGTGAGGCAGTTCTTCTTTCAAATGATCAAAATCTCTGCAACAAAGCAATGATTAATGGAGTCAGAGCATTTAACAATCAGGTGAGAAATGGTTCTTCTATAGCAAAATCTTGGTGTATACACTGTGATCATTGCATTATTAGAAATATGACTATGTACTATGTACTTTTGACAGAATCTAGTGAATGGGTTAAAGGAGCTTCTTCAAACATCAAGTTCTGTGGTTTTACAGACAGACAATTTTTCAGGTAAAGTAACTCTTTGTTTGAGGTTTGGTTTACTGTTTGCACTGCATGTATGCTTTCATCATATTCTTTCAGAGTATTATGAGCAGCTCGCAATTCAGGAGAGGCTTGCGAAAACAAGAGCAAAGGTATGGAAATTCAATAATGTTTTAAGCATAATTAAAAAAAAAAACTATTAAATGATGGTTAAAGAAACACTATTGATTCATAGGCTGATGACATTTTATGTGAGCTCAAGTGTATTATGAGAGAAGGTCTTGCAGTTGCAGTTGAATCGGAAATGAGAGCTGCCTATGAAGACTTGTGGTAAATGCTTTGAATCTTGTAATTTGTGATAAATTAGTGTCATATTAATTATGTTGGCTTCTCAGGGAAACAATAGTATGTATCAAACCACCATGGACAGTGGTAGATCTATTACAAATACTGAATAAGTAAGTRTTACTCAAACCATTACCATTTCTAGTCATTGAATGTACAGTTCTTTCCATGGTGTAGTTTTGTGAGAAATCCATCAATATTTGGGTTCAAAAGAATKGAAGACAAGGCAACCTTAAGGGAAACAATCCTTTTGTTTCCAGACATCTTCAGTTCTTTTGTACATACTTAAGTAACCAAAAAGAGGTGGGATAATAGATAGTTGGAAGTCCATATTTTAAGATTAAGATAAGATGTGGTACATGTAGATGACAAATATCAGAAAGAAAAGTCATTAAATAGTTTTTTTTTTCATCCTTGAATTAGACACTGGATAGCCGTTTTTGGCGATGTGGTGGGAAGAAACCTTCATTCTACATTGAAAGAGCTGTTGAAGCTTTTAAATCCAGAAAAAGGTGTGTGTTGACTGATATATATTTAGCAAGACATAATGACACTAGCAATTCATGTTTTAGCAGGTGTTCCTGGTTGTATTGCAAATGTTACTRCAATATTGAAGCAAGCCAGACTACTATTTGATGCATTTGCGCTTAGGGCAAGGTATGTATAATGACCATTTCAATATTTTTATTTCCAATCAAATAACAATCAAATTTACTATTGATTTCTCAGTGTTAAAACAAAAAAATATTTAAAAAATATTGATTTTAATAGCTATAATGGAGCAATGACAAAATGTGTGGCTGCAATTCAAGTACTAGAGCAAAAGTGCAAAGAATGTGAGAGTGAGCATCTACCAAGACTTGTTATACCTGGTAGTAGCAGGCCAGGTATAATATCTGGAGCTTTACCAGGACCAATTACACCTACTTCTATAAATGCTGAAGAGGTAAAACAAATGGTGTAGATAAGTCAACTTACTGACCTACCACACCCATTTTCTATTGTTTTCAATCGGTTTGGGTATTTTAGGTAAAACCCGCATTCTAAAAGCTGGGGGCGGCATTGATTATCATCAGGGGAGATTGGGGCTGACTAAAGCTTGAACCAGGTCTTGAAAATAAAAATCAAGACCTGAAACAAGTCTTGAAATCGATTTTCAAAACCTGGTACCTGGAGATCACTGATGAAGGAGAGGATTGCATTCTGCAGTTTTAATTCGTTAGCTCAATCACTTTAATACAAAGTTGTNCTATATCAATGTATCTATATGTTCCTCATCAGTTCCTCTTTGCTAAGTTGATAACAATAGACAGCAAAACTCAGACAAGAATTCTTGATTGTTTAGGRAGCTGTGGAGACAWAAGCACATYCCAAAGTATCCCAGTATATGTTCAAAATATATTCAATTTTACAAATTGCATTGCATCTTCAGATCTCGCCACCAAGTTCTGATGACACTGCTAGTGTATCATCTGTCAGTGTACATGGTGAAATTAATTCAGCAGTATCCAGGCATCCACACAGTCAGATTTTATCAACTTTTGAAGTCATATGGAGTGCAGTTACTCAGTTCAGGTAGCATTTGACAGATWTTATGAAGTTTTGTAGTCTTTAATTCAATCTAATGTTTAGCTTTTTGTTTGTGTTGACTTTGCTTTCATTTGTTCATTAATGGCCATTGTGTCGTTTCATTTCTCTAATTAGTGCACAGATATTCAATACGTTATCATATCCAAATCCCATTCCTGCAAGTTTCATTGAGAACCTACCCAGGCCAACAAGAGATGAGGCAATTTCTTTCCTTGGTGTTCTTTGTCGATCACTTGATGTCTTGATCACTGCTCTACAGAAGTAAGAACCTCAAACAGATGCAAATATTCATATCATATCAATCAGGGAGGGGCTGCCACCAAAAACATGACTACAACATATARATAGTATAAATTGAAGAAAAAGCCACACAACTTGTAACTTGGTTTCCACTTTTTATTGTACGTTCTGGGCATTCGCCCTTCTTCAGCATACTGAATGCTTTGCATGCCTCACTGCTACCAAAACAACAACAACAAATATATAAGGGAACTATGAATGGGTGCATAGTTTCMGAAGGGGTTGCAACTTCCTTACTTTGTATAAGTGAGGCATTTGTATTGACATTGTAGTTAATACCATAATAATTATGACAAATGATTTCTTTTGTTTTAGTGTTCTTAGAATTCCAGTCGAGGGGCTAAATGAAGATCAAGAGTCTGTAGGAAAACTTKCTCTTGCTATCCAGTCATTTATGAAAGATGTGAGTACAAGACATGAACATCTGTAATGATATTGAATATAGAGAGTTTTAGATGGATAGAATAACTAGTTTTGTACAGAATTGGATTTTGATTATTATTATTTATATATAACAGATTATTGATCAAAACAGTAAGATGTCAGTTGAAGCTTTGTTGTTCTTTTGCCAAGACTCAAACACAAGGTACCAGGTTCCTAAAAATGTACAATCAGTTTTGACTGACAATTGAGGTCATTATTTGAAGTATTGTAATGTGTTGACTGCATGCATGTGTTGGCAGCATATGCCTTATATATTGCATGGACATACACTTGTCATATTTGGCTTATATATTGCATGGACATACACTGTCATATTTGGCTGTATTAAAATATAGAATTGCTTTCTTGTAGATCTGCCCTGATACAAGGAGTTTCGCAGCTTGATAGAGCCTTTGCAATGTTGCAGCATTGTGCATCATGTGTTGTTATATGATACATCTACTTCAGAAATATTTGAGTACGAAAGGGATGCATTTTAGTACTGAAATTGTTAATGACACATCATTTTTACTGTTTCAAAGTGACTATGCCGGCTCTGTACCTTCAATGTAAAACATGATTTAGTTTAGAATTATCATTTTGTAACCCCTTTGATGTGGAGTCCAGTATACCAGCAATGCATTTGGTCTTKGAATATGCTATCAAGAATCACAGTGTTCAGTACTTTGAAATTGCTGTATTACCAGCAGATATATTRAAATATAAACCTAGTATACTTTATTTTTAAGAGGGTAATTATGTCAAACTCTGTATATTTTTTGCATATTCTATAATACACACAGCTAGGGATCAGACAACTCACATACTAATGATAAAATGCTGGAAACAGCTTCAGTTTGTACARTTTGTKGTGTTTTCAAATTATATCAAAAACTTGAAAAGTGGAAAGGAATGTCATTTTACAAAAGAGAAAGCTGCATTTCTATGCCTTCTCACTTTTTATTGATCATGATAATAACAATTTGTTAACAAATGCATTSCTTCCTCCCAAGTTGTGTTGTCGATCTCAGTGTACATCATAGGTTTATGTTTCAGAACCAAGAAGTATTTGTAAAACACTATTAGATTTCAACTTGACACACAACGAAGGTTTATACTGATGTGTGATGAAGAACACATCTCTTTTTGTGGTCACATTAAGCTAAAAACATCTCTAATCATGTTGATTGTTATTTAAGAGGTTTCCTCAAAGAGTTAAACACACAAGTGTGCAACCTTGTGATTATTAGTGCTTGAATAAATTTCATGGCCCCTTCAGCATTATATTTCTGGAGTATATTTCTGTCAAGTGTGAGTTGGTGTTGATAGATAGACTAATGAAAAATGATTTTGAAATTCTACATCAAACAATAGCCTTACAATTTTTTTTCAGCCTTACAATTTTTTTGCAGTTGATGGAAAATCACTGTAGTAYGCAATAACTATTATTTTCTATTTCCTGAATCTGTTAATATGCTTTGTTTTTCTGGATTATGAAAACAACTCACATTTAACAGGAGACTATTTCACATGCTTAGAGTAGATGCACTTCATTTTATTAGTAAATTTATTTTTTTTTTCTTTTGTCAAATCAATGCTATTTAGTAGTATTAAGTACCTTTTGTTTAATAAATTAAGTGCATATACTCTATCTGGCCATGTTGCACACTTGTAGTGTTGGTACTATATAAAGAGAAAGAAAATAGAAATATATTTTATTATGGATTTATAAATAAAAGTTCACAAAAAAGGTCTCAAATGTTTTTGCTTGCACACATCATCATTTTTATTAATATATGTGTTAGTTCCCAGTAACTCATAAAGCTCAAGAAGTTCTAATTTCAATTAAGAATTGGAACAATCTTATCAATGCTTTTACAGAATCATTGTGCTAGTCATTCAGTCTTGTTTAAGCTGGTCTGTCTTTGACTTCTTTGTGTTGCTCTCACCTACAAGAAAAGTCAAACATCATACCAGGTATTGATAATGCTCTAGTCGATTGAAACCCAGAACTCCTGGGAAATACCAGGGAATTAAATGTTTGAGTGGTGTTAAAACAAGACATTTTCCCTGGTAGATTCACTGTTAAAAAAACTGCTTCTGTGGCCGCGCTATTTTGGTCTCAAAGTAAATAAGAAAACAAACACCTTTCAATCAAACTGAAAAAAATAGGCTTTATTTGTATTTTCCTGTTGTTTGCATTGGGGCAGAGCCATGTTCCTAAAGGGCCCACCTCGGAGACCAATACACATGAGAGACCATGAGAGGTGATACCACATGGGAAAATAATACGAGGGTTCAAAGTGAAGTCAAAAAAACTCAGTAGACTCAACTACTAGTGCCTTTGTACCTATGTACACATTAAACTGCGCAATACATTTCCATTCTAGTTCACAGTTTGAGTTAGCCCTGGGGTTTACAGTTTTTCCAACTTCGGGGACTCAGGAGGAGGATGATAGTGTAACTTGTCCTATGTTAGTACCCCATTAAAAGGCGTCACCCTTACCATTGTTTTTCACTGAACTCTCTGTGTGAGTCATCAATCGAATATCGCTTCCTCGTTTACCATGCAGTACGATATGCTTTTGAATGTCTGTGAGTTCCTTKCCATATTTCATGGGGGTTGAAGTAATTGTGGCATCACTGTACCTCTCATCCTTTTCACGATCTTCTAAGCTAACCACAGGAGCAGCAGTGATAACTGCTGGATTATATTGTGTAGATAATTTGTCCCAATCAACCAATRYCTCTTCTTGTAGGGTATTTAAAAACTTTGGTTTGCCGACTGTTGCAAACAGAGTGTGCGGTGATGGTAGTTTGGAAGATGGCGATATATTTTTGGTGTCATTCTGTTCATGCGATGTAGTTTTATTCTCTTGTTTATGCGATATTTCCTCTTCTACTTCCGAGTCTGAACTCGAGCTGTCATCATCTCCAACTGCAAAGAAAGACAATGTATTCTTTTCCGCTTCTTGTTCTCTTTCATCCGCCATATTGRTTATGCGCTGTCGCACATATGKGACAGCGGACTGCTTAGTTCCAGTCTTTGTGTYCGAGTATTTCCAAAATGGCGGCATACATGAAATAAGTAATTTGTTTCCACAATTTATATTCAAAGTCTATTTAAAATGAGCCGGAGAAACTATCGAAAGAGGAGGGTTTCAGAAGAGGGAGATGATTCAAGTGAGATCCATTCAACCACGGATTTGTTGGAAGAACGAAAAGAAATTCAAAAGTTTCGAAAACGTCCAAAAGGAGTCTCTGCTGTTGGTCTTGCGTTGGGCAAAGAACTTCCTCCTGAAGAGAGCGTTATTAGTGATCCATTCAAACTCAAGACTGGTGGGCTAGTACAAATGAACGATTTGATACAAGATCGTGATAGAGATAGGGAYGATGAAGGCACAGGAATGTCTGTCAACATTGGAGCTAACTTTGCTGCTGAAACCAACAGAAGAGATGAAGATACAATGATGCTTAAATATATCGAGGAAGAAATGACCAAGAGGAAGGGAGCCGACAGGAATGAACAAGAAGATCCTACAAATAAGTGAGTTTCTTAATTTTGTTTGTCTGTAAATAACAAGCATATATCACAGTAAAATGCAGCTAACAATTTTGAATAAACTGCATATGTTCTATCTTTCAAGGTTGAAGACAAAAGAAGATATTCTTTATGAAGTCCCAAAGAACATTGACGTGCGGTCAAAATTAATGAAGTCAGAAGAAATGTTATCCAATCAAATGTTGTCTGGCATTCCTGAGGTGGATCTAGGAATTTCTGCAAAAATAAGAAACATTGAAGCTACAGAGGAGGCTAAAATGAGGGTGCTAGAAGAACAGCGTTCAAAAAAGAAAACAGGACCAACAGAGATGGTACCCACAAACATGGCTTCTAATTTTATGCTACATAGTAGATGTAAGTATTATAAAATAGTTTTGAAGAATTGCTATAATGATTCATCGAAATACTGCAAAAATAATTCACCATCATCATGAAATTGACTTTCTAATTTCATCTTTTAWGGAGCAAACCTGAAACCCTTATCTTTTCATGCACTAATAACCAAGTTTTATATTTAAAATTGTACGTTCTCAACAAATTGATTCATATGATGTTAAAATTGACTGATAAATAATATTGTTTTATTTGTAGTCTTTGATGAGCAAAGATCAGTTGATGCTGAGAGCCAAAAGGCAGCTAAACAAAAAGCAAAAGAAGAAGAAAAGAAAAAGAAAGTAGTTGAGCCTACAGTACCTGCTATGGAGTCCAGTGGTGCTGACTTTAGCTCTACTCAAAACAAAGCAAAAAAGAAAGAAAAATCTTCTGATGACTTTTACTATGAGAAGTTTAAGAAAAGAGCAAGAGATAACTGGAGATATCAATAGGCATAGATTCTTTCTGTTTTCAAAACACTGTACATAACTTCAGATGAGACATTCTCAACAAAACTGTATGCACAAAATACTAATTKTATAAAAAAGATAAATAAAAAACAGTTAAACCACACATTAATGATTTTGTACACTGACAGGTCATGTTACTTGATCAATTACTATACCATGTGGAGGCAGATATAAAACAAACTCTAGAAATGAAAACAGTACCTTTGGTTTGTAAAAATGACAATTTTTGGCCAGATTCCAATACGTGTATGACGTGTACAGTAATAAAACTATTGTAGGGCTTCCTGTGTCTTACGCAAAGAACGCCTGGGAGTTCTTTTCAACCTTTGATCGGCCTTCAGTCACCTGTCCAAAGAAGATTTTGATATTTTCTTTTAGGCATCAAAAACTTTTGGAGGTACTTCTGGAGATACTGTAAATTCATACACAAGCATATGTTTTTGTTACGTTGTTGATAATGTTAAATAGAAGATCCCAAACAAAAGATCTGAGAGGACGAATTTCGTCGAATTCTACACCCAAAGAAAATACGTCCAACGAGCTAGACSGCAATCAAGAAACCGTCTTGGAGAAATTGCACACATTAGATGTCGATATTTCAAGTAAACTAAGCTTCTGTGCCGGGAAAGGGCATAGTTGGAGAAGTATTTTAATCGCTCTTGAAATCTCCGGTCATGGGATCCCGTGGATCATTGGTGTCGTGCTAGCAATGTATAGGCTTAGAGATCACCAGCAACAATTTGCCCTTAATTTTCTACTGGCCCTCTTGCTTGACTTGCTCGTAGTAGGACTACTGAAAGTCATATTTCAACGTAAAAGACCTGTAAACAATGAGATGGACATGTTTGCAACAGTTTCTGTTGATAACTTTTCCTTCCCATCAGGCCATACTACAAGGGTTTCCATGGTAGCAGCATTGTTCAGTCTTGTTACATCCAATGTATTTTATCGAGTAATAGTTAATGTGTGGGCTATCAGTGTAGCTGTATCCAGAATAATGCTGGGACGCCATCATGTCAGTGATGTATTGTTTGGTGCTATGATTGGTTTGGTGCAATACTGTGTAATTTTACAAATATGGCTWCCTCTAAAAACTTGCCAATACATTTTAGATTTAGTTCCATATGTGGATATTGTACAATGACACTGAACATTAAATATCAGCACAAGAATGAATCCTAAAAGAAGGTCAAGGTTTCAGTTGTTCAGATCCATTCASTTCTTTGCCACAACGTTTTCATATTAGAAAAGCAGCTGTAGCTAATTGAACTAGTTTAGGCAATAAATCAAATATAAGGAGACCTGTATGATGATCTTTTAAAAAATAGCAGCAGAATTTAGCCATGACTAACATCATCTGAGCAAGAACTTACAATATTTTTTTCTAATATTTACAAAAATAGATAAAAATGCATCTCAAACTT